GAGTCTTATTTGTTAATTGCTATTTGTCGAGTACGGTGTATAGGCATGGTGACGAGTATCTATACACTGGTATCGAGCATGACCGTGAGTCCTAATTTGCTAAATTATCGCATTTGTAATTGTTATTTATGAGGAATTGGTTGGAAACCTTTAACACTGGGCCAGTAATCGTTGAGACTAAGTGTGAATGTAATTGTGTTGAGTAGAGATTGAATGAGTTTGGTTATAGCTGGATCTCCCTTGCCGGGACAGTTTATTATATTACGTTGCTCCCTTGCCGGGATAGTTATTATAACATCTTTCTCCCTTGCTGGGATTATGTTGTGTATTGTGTTGAAAGAAATGGGATCGTCTGGCACGCCGACCACGAGTTATTATAAAATGGGATCGTGTGGCACGCCGACCATGAGTTATTATGAAATGGGATCGTGTGGCACGCCGACCACGAGTTATTATGAAATGGGATCGTGTGGCACGCCGACCACGAGTTATTATGAAATGGGATCGTGTGGCACGCCGACCACGAGTTATTATGAAATGGGATCGTGTGGCACGCCGCCACGAGTTATTATGAAATGGAGCGTGTGGTACGCCTACCACGTGATGTAAGGAAATGGGATCGTGTTGCACGCTTACAATGAGAGGAAATTGAAATAAGTGAAAGTGGTTTGTTTTCCTTTATTCTGTGTTAAAGGAAATCAGATGTAGTTTCTCTTGTTATTCCTGATATTCCGTTTATCTGCTTTCCCATAAGCATGTTCCCCCTTCCCAGCTTTAATTGCTTACGTTCCGCTATTATTTTGTTGTACTCGTATATATGTGTATATATATATATATATTATATAATATTATATATATATATATATCCGCACAGGTCTATCTGGTAGTCTGGTCTAGCCTCGTCACTACTTCGCCGGGGTTAGGCTAGGCACTTACCAGCACATGGGTCGGTTGTGCTGATGCTACACTCTGTACATCTTTTTGCACAGATCACAGTACCGGAGCAGCAGCAGCTTTTGGACAGCAGTAGGAGCATTCGGGAGCTGACTTCAGTCCAGGGACATTCGAGGTAGCCTTGCTGACGTCCGCAAGCCCGGAGTCCCTTTCTATTTTATTCAGTTTGTTATCATTTGTACCGAAGCAAACAGTTTTGTGTTTCGTTCGAACCTTGTATTTAGTATTCTCTAGACGTTCGTGAGTATTGTGACACCAGTCTTGGGTAGAGGATTTTGTTAAAGTTCCGCATTTCTTTCAGTTAAATATATTTGAGACCTTCGTGTTATTATTAATGCTTTATTGCTTTCTAATATTGACGATGTTTGCTAAAAGAGGTAATTGATAATTGTCTTGCCTAGCTCCTATTAGTAGGCGCCATCACGACTCCCGAGGGTGGGAAATTCGGGTCGTGACATGTATCTCTTGTATCTTGTATCCCCTTAGCATGTTCCCCTCCCAATAATACATGTTTAAGCTTTTATTCGTTGTTATCTTGTATATATACTGTTATCTGCACAGGTTTATTACGTGGGTGTCCTGTCATAGCCTCGTCGCTACTTCGTCGAGGTTAGGCTCGACACTTACGGAGTACATGGGGTCGGTTGTACTCATACTACACTCTGCACTTCTTGTGCAAACTTTGGTACCGGCCCTAGCTGTTCGTGATGCGTAGCAGCTTGGACTGTCCGTTGGAGACTCGAGGTAGATCTGCTGGTGTACGCAGACCTTGAATTCCCCTTCTATTTTCCTTATTTTACTTCGTTCAAAACAGTTGTATTTCTTTCGGACTCTGTTTGTAGAAAATTTTAGAAGCTCGTGAGTTGTGACTCCAGATCCGTATTGTTGTAGATATTGGGCATTTATGTTATTCCGTACTCAGCTTTAATTCATTTTGGTTTAATTAACTTTATTTATTAAAATTGAATGAAAATGGACTTAAGGATTCTCTATCATTGGCTTGCCTAGCGAGTGAAATGTTAGACGCCATCACGGTCCCGAAAGTGAGAATTCCGGGTCGCGACATACACTCTTTGAATTCTCAATTAAGCATTTACCTTTTCTCTTAGAAAATCACATTAACCCAATAGAAAAGGATTCCTTTTTCTATAATGTGCATGCAACAATAGAAAAGAAAGAAAGTCAAATAAGCCACTTTCATATTTAAGCCAGCAATTTCCTTTTTCTTGATTAAGAGCAATAAACAAATTCAATGAATATGTCTATAGATAATTCTACGAATTAGATCTGTTTTCTTTTGGACATTAACATGTTTTCTTCCAATATTCATGTACTTGTTTGTGAAACTTCTAATATTTTGCGTACCTTTTGCGTAACTTGAAAGAGAATTAATTATTCAATACTACAAAGAAATATAGTTACAATAAATGTATATAGGTCTAATAGGAAGCCAAACCTAATTAACAAATTTAAAATAGACAAAATTGACTAGGTGAGGTCGACAGATGTTTTACTTTCAAATGGGCTTCTCGTATAAAGAAGAATGTTCTTTTCTATAAACTATTTTCTTGTAAAAGAAGTTAGTTTGAAAGATCGTTTTCTGATTGTTTCTAGTAGTTTGTTGGATCTAAATTCTAAAAGTCATTATTATGTGATAATCATATACACAGTGCAGAATAAAGTGGATATACTGTTTTGATGATAAATCTCAAAAAAATAAAAGAGTTGATTGAAATAAGTGATGCGGGATAATAATTGTAGCTTTGCAAAAATAACTACCGTCGAAAAATGGAGTAAATCATTTCACATCTATAAATAATATAATTCACGAAAATAAAATACTAAAAAGTATTTTCACGGATAAAATAATTTTGAAAAATATTTTCGTCATACTAAGGGCATCTCCAACCCTCCCCCATTTCTCCACAATGGGGGATTTACAGCTTGTTTGGATGGTTGTTACGTATCGTATCGTATTGTATTGTATTGTACTGTATCGTTTGATGAATACAATGTTTGGATGGATTGTGTCGTTTTGGCGTCGTTTCATGGTATCACGCACCTGTGATATGATGAATAAACTTGCAATATTATAAAGAAAAATTATGATACGGTATATAAAAAGGTAGGGTAAATGATAAAATAAAATTATTTAATAATAATGAAGGGTGAGATTGAGAGAAAAACACAAGGAAACGACGCGACCACACCAAATCGGTCGTTACATAAAGTGGCACATTTCATCGTTACGTAACGACGGATTTAACGATACGATACAATAAAATTTAAGTAACAATCAAAACAAACATTGTATTTAAAGTAACAATACGATACGATAAAATAGGTAACAACCATCCAAACAAGCTGTTATTGTCATAATGTAAATGGAGCTCCAAGGCTCCCCCATTTTTGCCCCCAAAATGGGGGATGAATAGTGTAACCCCAAATATGGAGTGACACTATTCATCTCCTCCATTACTATTCATGCTTATTTTATTATTATTTAATTCTTTTAATTTATCTCTTTATATACCTAATTATGTTTATGTAATATCTTTATAATATTAATTTTACATCTTAACTTTGGCATATAATTTTGATAAATTAATATTCGTGCATTTATTATTTTTATGTAAAATTGTAAGTTAATTTTATTATAAGTTATAATTGTACAGAAAATATATAATCATCTCAAAAGATGAATGATGTAAATATAAAAAATTAGATGTTGCTAAAAAATAATAAATATAATATGAAGAGAGAGAAGAATATAAAATGAAATATTCTTTTACGGAGTAGAAAATGGAGTAATGGTTGGAGTAACTTTACTCCATTTTGGAATTTACTGCATTTTAGAAGAAAAAATGGAGGTAAGGGTTGGAGATGGCCTAAACCAACTTATGCCATCTGCTACCTGAGGAATGTCTATTTAATACAGCGTTGCTCATTTGACACGTACTTAATCCGCCTTTTTCTATTTCATTGAAGTATATTGAATTTCTCCAATCATTTTGAGCGGGGGAGTGCATATATAGTTATTCTTAGGGGTGCTATTTAGGGATTAGTCGGTATTTATTTTGTTCTAAAATCTTAAACTAAAACTCGAAATTTCAAGACAACTCAGAATATTATTATCCTGAAAAATTAAACTGAAACACTGAAATTCAAAATGCACTAGCTAATTTCTAAATAACAGCCCTTTAAAGTGGCTACCTGACGCCATTTCTACATTTTGAGTGTCAGTTAGGGCAACCTACTCTTCTCGTGAGTGACCAGAAGGATATGGTGTATGCAAAATATGTCTTGTTTCAACTTGAAAACTTAGTAGCTAAAGTTTAATTTCAGCACATAATAATAAGACTTTTAACTTTTATCCAACAACATTTTAAACAATATTTACGCTATCAGATCACTTTAAAGTTAATTAAATGTATGTATGAATAACTAGTGAATTAATAACTTGAAAATAAGTCACGCAACCTTCTAAAACAGGTTAAATTGCACTTATTATGTAAAAAAATTATTTACACTATCACTACATATAAGATAGTTAATACTTTTAACAATATTTCATATTTAAATATGTTTTCTTACATAATTTAGTGCAAGGTCGCCATATTGAAGGAATTTGCTTGTACATAATTTTTTTCATCAATTTTCTGACTTTTATGTTGCTGTTATTATCCTTTATTTCTGTTGATGGTACTGATATATTGTCTCTTGAACCGAGGGTCTTTTCGAAACAGCCTCTCTACCCCCTCGGGATAGGGGTAAGGTTTGCGTACACATTACCCTCCCAAAACCCCATTAGTGAGATTTCACTGGGTCATTGTTATTATTGTTGTTGTTGTTGCACTTCATTCTCGAAAATTTACATGTCCACCTGCCGAATAAAGATCAATAAAATTAAAATAATGCAACATGCATCTAAAACAACTTTTATCTTCGATTTCTTTTTCCTCATTTTAATATACCATATCATTCGACATTTTTGAAAACCATGTAGAGATTACTTCATTGGAAAAATAACTCTTTCAGCCCCATTGGTAGCACTCTTTACTAAAAATAGCTTTAGACAAGGCATTGGAAATATCTTCTCCCAATTTCCAAGATTGATAGCACATGACTTCCCATTTTTCATATGTCCTAAGGTTGGTGTGTTAAAGAGAGCATATATGGAATCCTCTTCAATCTTTCGTTTGGCTTTCATCTTGTCCATTGTTATTTTCCTTCTTACACATTCATGGTTTCATCTATACAAAACAAGCTTGTTTTTGAGCTCCAAGACTAATTTTCCACCAACTTTTAAGACTAGGAAAACCAAGTTTGATTCAGTTTTAGAAACACCAATTTTCAAAGTCAAGAACACTTTTAATAGTAGCCCATCATACCCTTTAGATCCACTAACTATTCAAGAAATCAACAAAGCCCAAATCATTATTTCTTCTTATAAGCCTTTCTTAGGTTCTTTCCCTTCTATTCGTTCTTTATCACTAGATGAGCCTGAAAAAATTCAAATCTTAAATTGGAAGTATGGTGACCCTCTTCCTCCTAGAAGAGCATTTGTTATTGCATGGGCCAATAGCCAAGTTCACTTGCTCATTGTGGACTTGAACTTGGGCCAAGTTATAAGTCATGTACAAAATCCGGGTTCGGGCTATCCACCGATATCCATTGATGATGTTCGGGTTGCTATACGGGCCACATTGTCCAATGAAGAATTCAATAAATCTATTGTCGCGAGAGGAGTTAATTTTTCGGATTTGGTTTGTACTACGCCATCTTCGGGCTGGTTTGGGCCCGAAGAAGAAGGTAAAAGGATCATGAAAGTTAGATGTTATTCGAGCCAAGGTACTCCTAGTTTCTATATGAGGCCCATTGAAGGTCTCATAGTAACTGTTGACATTGATAAAGGTGAAGTGATCAAAATTTTGGACACAAGTCCAAAAATTCCAATTCCAAATGGTGAGAACACGGACTACAGATATATGTCACAAGACAAGCCTCCAGAAATGAAACCACTAAATCCAATCTCCATAGAACAGCCCAAAGGCCCAAGTTTTACGATCGAAAATGGACATAATGTTAAATGGGCCAATTGGGATTTTCACCTAAAGGCGGATCAACGAGCTGGAATAATCATATCTAGAGCTCGAATTCGAGACTCAGAGACTGGTGAACCAAGAAGTGTAATGTACAAAGGATTTGCTTCAGAATTATTTGTGCCATACATGGATATTGATGAAAATTGGTACTTTAGATCATATATGGATGCTGGTGAATTTGGGCTTGGGGCAACAGCGATGTCACTTGTGCCACTTAATGATTGTCCAAGATATTCCTATTTTATGAATGGGCTTTTTGTTACTGCTGATGGAAAGCCATTTGTTCAGCCCAATATTATTTGTGTGTTTGAGAGATATGCTGGTCATATTAGTTGGAGACATTCTGATCTTCCCATTCATGGTTTTGAGGTAAGGCTACATATTTTCAAAAAGGATATTTGTTTTGAAGCCTATGAATTATGAAAACTATTAAAGAAAGATAACTTTTTAAATGTGATTTTTACACAAGTAGCCAGCCATATTCATTGTGTACTCTTTAGCTATATACATAGATTATACATGAGTATACATATATTAAACATAACTTATACATATATTATATCTCCATTACCTATTTTTAGTTTAAGCGATTGAGTGGGTGGCTAATCAGGTTAATTCTTTTGGTTATAGGAGCGAATAAGAGAATCAAGACCAAAGGTGACCCTCGTGGCTCGAATGGCTGCATCGGTTGGAAACTATGACTATATTTTCGACTGGGAATTTCAAACTGATGGTTTAATTCGTGTTACGGTAATTACTTGCTTACTTAATTTTATACAAACTCGTGACACTACGGTTCGAATTGTGACTTCTTGACTATAAAGTTGGTTAAATTCATAACTAGGTTGGCTTATCTGGAATGCTAATGGTAAAAGGGACTCTACAAAATAGCACAAATGAAGATGACATATTTGGCCCATTAGTTTCAGAGAATGTAATTGGTGTGGCCCATGATCATTTCATCACATTTCATTTGGATATGGACATAGATGGCCCAATTAACTCCTTTGTCAAGGTTGATCTTGTGAAAGAAGAAAATCCATCAGCAAAAACACCAAGAAAAAGTTATTGGAAAGCTAAAAGAAAAGTAATTGAGAAAGAAAAAGATGCTCAAATTAAGCTTAAGCTTTATGAGCCATCTGAATTTCATTTCATTAATCCTTTGAGGAAATCAAGAATAGGAAATCCAACAGGGTACAAGATTGTTCCAAAGGGTAATGCAGCTAGTTTACTTGATCTTGATGATCCACCTCAAATTAGAAGTGCTTTCACCAACAACCAGGTATGAACTGTGCTGAAGACATATTTAAGTAAATAAAATATATTTTTTTCTAGTGACTTAAACTTTCAGATAAAATGATCGGACACTTCAACATGGTATTAAAACATGATGAGGTTCTTATCATTTCATCGAAATAAGGTTATTAACAGCTAAAAGTTAGCTTTAGGATTTTGTCCTGCAGCTAGAAAAAGATCGCTTTGTCGTCATTGTGGACTTCTATTAATTGAATTAAACTGTTTAGAAAAGATTGATATTATTATACATGTTGTTATGTTCTATGGTTGCGCAGACTTTCTAAAATGCTGGCGCACTCATGTCAGATCACAAAAATTTAGTACTTTTGAAGGATCTGACACGCATCCCGATGATATTTTCGGAGAGTCCGAGTAACATAAGTCATGTTACTAATACTGTAATTAACGTTTGTTTCTGACTGATAGGTATGGGTAACTCCATACAACAAATCTGAACAATGGGCTGGTGGGCTGTTAGTTTATCAGAGCAAAGGAGAAGACACACTTGCTGTTTGGTCCAACAGGTATGAAAGACATGGTAGTATTTTTTTGACTAGTTAACATAAAAAAGCAGAAGGGGAGCACTGGCGTAGCTGGTAAAGTTGTTGCCGTGTGACCAGGGGGTCACGGGTTCGAGTCGTGAAAACAACCTCTTGCATAAATGCAGGACAAGATTGCGTACAATAGACCCTTGTGGTCCGACCAGTCCCCGAACCCCGCACAAAGCGGGAACTTAATGCATCGGGATACCCTTTTTAATATCAAAAGCAGCTAAATCACTATGTTAATACATAAACTATTATATCAAGCTATACCTAATGATATAAATAAGTCATGTAAGTTGGTTCGGAAAGGACCACTATCATTTAATTTGGCATAGAAATGAAGGGAAAAAAATTGGCCAAAATTATTGAACTTATGATCATGAAATCTTATTTGTTTTATTTGACAGAAATCGTGAAATCAAAGAGAAGGACATTGTACTGTGGTATACGTTAGGATTTCATCACGTACCATGTCAAGAAGATTTTCCAGTTATGCCAACTGTTACCTCTAGCTTTGATTTGAAGCCTCTCAATTTCTTTGAAAGGAATCCAATACTTAGGGCCAGGCCCAATTTTGATAAAGACTTACCTGTTTGTCGGTCCACTGATTTAAATTGATTTCCCGTTCGCTCTTTATTTTTTATTTTTTAATTAAGTTACAAATTCTTTTGCAATTTCTAGACCATCCCATTCAGCCGAAGGAAATATTTTCTCTGTGTTAATTATTTACTTTCATGGTTAAACGTGTTTTAGTGATTCAAAGGTCCAGCCAAAAAAACTTTAAAAAAAGAGTTTATTTGAAAACAGTAAGTTAACAATATCAGTAAATATAAGAAGTCACCTGAAAAAGGTTTGAGGGAGGTCATGGATGGGTAAATATTTACCTACATCGAATATGTACACCTAACAGATAAACTTGCCTGATTTATAAAACTTCTAATATGAGAATGATCCCTTTTTTGTTTAAAATAATATTGTTACTGAAATAAGATAATGTGATCGACTCTTTCTCAAAGCTCGTGCTTAATAAAAGAATTGTCAATTGGGTTGGTGACAAGAGGACATAATATTCTGTTTAATCAGTACCCATTAAAGACTTTTAGCGTTAAGGGTGCTAAGTGATTTAAATTAACTATTTTCAAGGTATACATATATATATATACAAGATTTCTTCCGAAGTTTACAGGGTCCGGTGACCCCTCAACATAAGCCATAGGTTCGCCTCTGCTCAATCCGGTTCACTTTAATTTGGTTCTTGGTCTTTTTTGTGGTCCATAATAATTAATTTTTTTAGATATTAAAAAGGGATCTTTTTCCTAAAACCCTTGGAGTGTTTTGGAAAGGAGTAGTATTTATATTGCATTTTTATCACTCGACAATTACGTTGAGCAATGGGAGTTGGCATTTATTTTGCGATGCACATATCTCAATGATAGGATGTTAAAAGCGCTATAGCTACTCCCTTCAAAATAAATTTTCAATTTTATTTGTCACTTTTAGCACATTAGGAGAGGACAATTTTTTTTTCCTGTTATACCCACAGTATTAATTACTCATTTCAAATTATTTTCTTAAATCCACTAAAAATGTGCATCAATTAATATGAGAGTCTATTACTTAAATGGTCACTCAACTATCCCAATTTATCTCCTAAAGTCACTTTTCTTTCGTTTGTAACAACAAAGTCACTGAACTATGTCTATTGCACTCTGAAAGTCACTCAACTAGATTTTCCAAGTTTTGGATTGTCAAACACCTATTTTACCCTCAATAATAAACATTTATGTTCTTTTTATTTTTCTTAAACTTTTTAATATTATGATTTTTCCCTTTTTAATTCAAATTTTGGACATACCTATATAATAAATAAATATTATTTACAAATTAAAAAAATAAAAAGTATTTAAGCATATACAATGCTGGAATAACAAAATAATGAGCATGGTAAAAACAATTAATTAGAATAATTTGTTAGTAATAAAAATTTAGTATTAACAACAAAAATTTAAAAATTTATTTACCCAATTCAGAATGAAAGAAAATAAAGGTGGTAAAATATATATACCATGCACGTAATATAAAAATAATTATTTAAATAAATGTATTTTTATAATATACATTATATATTCTTGAAAATTATGCTCAATTATATTATATATATTCCATGCACGACTTAACATAGCATACTTTAACCTATACAGATAGTACCGGCGCTTTCCGGTGACATAACTTTCTGTCGTCGGAAAGTTGGTAGAAAATTAATAATATAACTGAGCATACTTTAATTTTCAAGAATATATAATGTATATTATAAAAATACCTTTATTTAAATAATTATTTTTATATTACGTGCATGGAATATATATTTTACAATCTTTATTTTCTTTCATTCTAAAATGTTAAATAAATTCTTGAATTTTTGTTGTTAATACTAAAAAGTGTAATAAAAAAGATAAATATTTATAATTTAGAGGGTAAAATAGGTATTTGGCAATTCAAAATTCGGAAAATCAAGTTGAGTGACCTTCTGAGTGCAATAGGCATAGTTCAGTGACTTTATTGTTACAAACGAAAGAAAAGTGACTTTAGAAGATAATTTGGGATAGTTGAGTGACCATTTGAGTAATTGACTCATTAATATGGGTATCATGGTAAATTATGCACTTTATTTATTATTTCTTAAAGGATGTGCAAGGTCCACGTGGACCAATAAAAGTGAACAGAGGGAGTACAAACCGACCAATGACCATTAACTCGAGTTAATTTGTAAATGAGTAGCTAATCAGCGTTATTGTGTAGGATAACGACAAAGTTATAAACTACTTCTTCAGTCCAATTTAATAGATTTTTTGGCTTTTTTTGTGATCCACAATATTTAATTTCTTCAGATATATATCAAAAAGGAATTAATTTTGTTTTCCAAAGTTTCTCTTGGAATAAAGAGCTTAGGAGTATTTGTTGTATTTTTTCAATGAATAAATTAAAATTAATATGATCAATTTTATTATCAGTTAATATATATAAAAACAACCAAAAAATCAACTCAAGTGGACCGGAAAGAGTAGATCTTAGTGCTACTGATTTTTTCTCATGCTCAAAGTTTCCCTCTGTTACATCATTAACTTCCTTTCATTGGACTTCTGTTTTTTGTGAATTGGTGAATAAGGACCACTTTTCTAGTGTTGAGTTAATGGGTGATTGCATCACTAGTCCATAAACATCTCATTCACTAATTCATTTTCTTAATCAGGCTTTCCACTCCACATATTCATGCATGGATTTCCACAAATGTTTGAAATCGAGATGCAAGTTGCTCATTTGCGGATCTATGTAGTTGGTTCCCTTTCTAGAAAAAACATATACTCCAAAATATCGTCATATTCCATTATCGGAGCCCACCACTAAATATTCAGTCCAAGGACTCCAAAAAGGTATTACTATTAACCAAGTAAGTCATGAAACCTACAATCATGTAATAGGTTAGTAAAATTCATATATATATATATATATATATATATATATATATATATATATATATATATATATATATATAT